CAGCAGGGTCGAGGAGCAAAGCTTAGTGCGGCTGCCGCCTGAAGTTCCACCTCCACTATCCCGCCATCGATCGCGATGGATGTGCTCGAATCACGCCGCCGCCGACCTCGATGGTTGAGATCCTCCTATCTCCCGCCGTAGACCGAGGATTGACCTCCTATGACGCCGCCACCGCCCGCCGACTGAGGATTGACCTCTTCTCTGGTAGCCGCTGCCTAGGCCGCCACCGTCATCTCTATATGCAGAGCGGCTGTTTTTTTACGGATATCCGCAGAGCGGCTGTTTACACGGTATCTCACTGTAACTCAATTATATGGACATGGTAGTACATCACATATGGTTATGTAACAGCAACCGTGTCTAACCTACGTTGTCGTCTCACATGGTTTGGTGCGGAAATCGTGTGTGACGTTGTAATACCTAACACAAATGACATGTATAAACAGTGTGCCATATACAACATATAGTGCCATAAGTAGTTCCCGATCATTAGCTTATCTTCACAGTTTTCCATTTCCCCCAAATCCCTACATAGCCTCCAAATTCCCTCGCGTGGTGTTGACATTGGGTAAATGTAGATGAGTGGTGCTGATGGTTTCGGTGCGGCTGCTCCTGCTCGTATCGCCGCCACGACGGCGGTCGCCACCGAGCACTTGCCTAAGGTCATCAGAAGGCAGGTGTCCTATGGATCCGAATCGTCCTGTCAGGTGCCAATCTATCCCAATCTTTTTTAGCATGTCCAAAGTATAGCTCCTTGCTGAATCTGTCCTGAATGACCCCCTCCCCCCCAGGAAAGCGATCTGCCGCCGGATCCGGAGCATGACTCCAGACTCCCGCAACACGAGTTCGACTCCGAGTTTTGCGCCACCGAGAAGTACCAAAAGCTAAGTTGTGTACACGGGCACACTCCCGCTCGACGTGTATGCACAGAGGGATTCGACATTGGCAGGTGGTTTCTCAGTTGCCCCTTAGAGGTTAGTGCTAATTAAGTTCATCATTTTACTTCAGTTAATGCCACCGCTCATCCTGAATACTATTTAACATTGGCAGGGATATGAGGCCTGTGCCTTTGTTAACTAGGTGGATGAAGAATGGCATGGCAGGGCTCGGAGTGTTATCACCAAGCTCGCAGAAGATAACGTAAAGATGAAGAAGAAACTGGCTGATCTGCAATGTACAATTAGTACGATGAAGCAAGAAAGAATCAATCACAGGCAACAGATGAAAGCAAGAGACAAGAAGGAACTAGCATGTGTAATTGTGGTTTTCGCATTAGCCATGTTCTATGCGCTGTTTGCAATGATGATTAGGGGTTTTGTTTGACAGTATTGCTAAAGCACATCTAGATGTGCTCTAAGTAATGCACATCTAGGTCCTATGCCATTGATGTTACGCGAAGATTCGTGCCGATATTTTTCCTTGTCTTTTTTTCTTTTCCTTTCTAGTTTGATTATTAATGTCTTTATCAATAAGAAGAGCTCAATGTATTGCTTCCAACTGTCCTACTCCATTCGCACCGGTGCCGGTGCATAATCCCAAAACTTGTTCCTTGTTTTTGCCCTGAAAAAAGAAACCAGCCAAATAGCCAATAGGAGTCCCGCGCAACCCCAGGAATTTGGAGCGAATGGGTACAAATAATTGCAGTTGATTATATCTTGGCGGTTAAA